TATTATTATTATTATTATTATTATTATTATTATTATCCTTATTATTATTACTATCACTATTATTGTTATTATTTTTACCATTATTATTATCATTATTGGTACTCATTGATGTTATTATTATTATTATCATTATTGTTATTATCATTATTATTGCTCTTGTTTTTGTTGATGTTAATATTATTATTATGATTATTGTTCTCATTATTCTTATCATTATTGTTATTGTTATTATAATTTTATTATTATTATCATTATTATTATTATTATTATCATTATTATTATTATTATCATTATTATTATTATCATCAGTATTATTATCAGTATTATTATCATAGTTATTATCATTATTATCATTATCATTATTGTTATTATTATTAGTAGTAGTAGTATCATCATCATCATCATAATTATTATTATCATCATCATCATAATTATTATTATCACCGTTATTGTTATTATTGTCATTATTATTATTATTATCATTATTATTATCATTATTATTATTATTATTATTATTATTATTATTATTATTATTGTTATTATTATCATTTTTCTTCTTCTTCTTCTTCTTCTTATTATTATTATTGTTGTTGTTGTTATTATTATTATTAACACTATCATTATTATTATCATCATTATTATTATTATTATTATTGTTGTTGTTGCTATTATAATGATTATTATTATTACTATTATCAGTATTATTATCATAATCATTATTATTATTACTATTGTTGTCTTTATTATCATTATTATCGTTATTTTTCTTATTATCATTATTATTATTTATATCATTATTACTATCATTATTATTATTATTTTTTTTTTATAATTATTATTTTTATTAATATTTTTATCATTATTATTATTATTATTATTATTATTATTATTATTATTATTATTATTATTATTATTATCATTATTATTATCATTATTGTTATTATTATTATTATTATCATTATTATTGTTATTCTTATTCTTATAGTAATAATACTGATAATGATAATCATAGTAATGATTATCATTATTCTCATTCTTCTTCTTATTATTATTATCATTATTATTATTATTATTATTATTATTATTATTATTATTATTATCATTATTGTTGTTGTTGTTGTTGTTATTATTATTATTGTCATTATTGTTAATATTATTATCATTGTTGTTGTTAATATCATTATTATTATTATTGTTAATATTATTATCATTATTATAATGAAAATAATTGTTAATATTATATTAGTAGTAGTAGAAGTATT